GACTGGACTTCCTCTGAACTTAGGATGTGATGAGTCCTGTGTCAGAGAACCACTCTCCTGCCCTTGAAAAGTCACAATGACTTAAATTGCTCTCTTCCATTTCCAGCTACTACCTTTCTGCAGGGTGTTTCATGTGCAAGAGCCACTGCATACACTTCATCGAGCCATTGACAGACAAAAATGAATATGCAAAGGAGCTAAAGCAGCTAATGAGTTCCTCGCTGGTGCCCAAGAGGAGAATGCCCTCGCGTGACTCCTGCTGCCGAAACCAGCACAAGAATGACCCCCACCCCCACTGCCTACGGGGTGTAGTTATGGCTATTTTTAATAGCACTTTGGAGACATTAAACAGGCTGTCCCACCTGGGTCTCTTTCTCTCTGGCCTTTGACTCAATAAAAGCCACACCTGATGTGTGCTCTTGCAGTAGGACAGCAATACATGGCCCCATGGGCCCAGCTTTCTCATTGAATACAAATAAAGCTACCTTTCAGTCAAGAGACATGCTAGATTTTAATGCTCCCCTTTCAGTCTTGCCCACCTTAGGGAGACGGCCTCGAGCAGAGGCTCATTATGAAGGTCTTCTGCTCTGCCAGCACTGGGGAACCTTTTTATCATTATTCAGTTCAACCATGTGCTATGTTCAGGACCGCGTACCATTTCTGCCCTGAGATGCTGGTGGATCAAACATCACAGGAACAGGTCCAGCTGGCCACAGCGCCATTCAGACCCAATGCTTCTTTCACTAGCAGGCAAGGGAGAAACTGGTTGGGAGCAGCACAACATCTCAGGAAAGCTCCTAGGACCGACAGATCCCCACATGGTAGTCCAGGCAGAGAGGAGAAATGTTGTCCCTCCCTGTGCAGCCCTGCACAAGTCACTGAGGGTTTATTCCTTCCTCAGACGCATCAGGTGCCCACTAATGCCTGAGCTTGAGTCCCAGGCAATGATTTGATCCCTTGTGACAAAACCACTATTTCTATGCTGTCTCCCTAGACTTCCAATCTGGCCCTTCCTTTCATTTTCTTTGTCTTTAAATGGACTGGAGGAATACATTTTGAAATGGGCTCAGCCTGATCTCTAAAACTGCAGCGCAAAACTGTGTGGCTACATTTTTGTACAAGCTTTCTCAGCCAACTCTGTCCAGGCTGAAAGGCTTAGTTGTTTGCCTCCCCCGCAGACACTAGGAGGGCTGAAAAATGCCCTTTGCTTTGGGTATCTGCACACGGGGAGATGCAGCTGAGACACAGAAAGCAAAATTTCATCTGCAAACTGTACAGATGCTTTTGCAGACCTGATCCTGAGTGTCAGGGTAAACAGGCACCGATGCCTCTTCTGAATCCATGCCCCTTTGGTTTCTCCTGGGGCATAATATGAACCATGCTGACCTGCCTGGGGTTACACGCACAACATCTTTTTTGCTCAAATTCAGATTGGCGCTCAAGGGAAAGGTTGGGAGCCCACAACGTCTTTTCTAGTCCCTATATCAGAGCACAGATTCATTTCTTTCTCCTTAAGCTGTTTTGCAGCCCAGAAGTCAAATGAAATATTTAAGCTCCTCTGGAGTTTAAGAGGAAGTCACCCCTGCTCACACATGGGTCTGTACAAGCTGCATTAAGCAATTTGGATTGGCAAGTAAAAGTCCCAGCCTCTGACTCACACATACATGGAAGAGAGGGAGAAAGACATTAGCTGTGATTGCCTGAGACTGTGCCATTGTGATTGCAAAACCGGTGCTTCCTCCTGCACCTGTGAGGATGTGGCTTGGGTTTCCAATCAAGCTCAGCCAAAGGCAAGCTGATAATGGCTGGCTGCTTTCCCAGGGGAACCACAGAGGCTCTGTCCCCACAGGCTCCGGGGTCTGCGCACACGGAGCAGGCTGCAGGAGCAGAGTTCATGTGAAAATAAGGGCAGTTGTCACAGGTCCTTCTATGAGGCCAGGATGGGCTCTGCACCAGGGGCCAGGATGACTGACTGGAAGGTTAGACATTGCCCTGCTACACCACATCAAGGTGCATCCCCTCCCCACTTCTGCCATTCAGTTAATGCTTCAACTAAGATGCTGCATTCATTTCCCTGGGGAAATTATTTTGCTGTAATGAGACTGCCACCAGCAAAGAGAGGTGCAAACACTTTGAGCTGGCCATTTTCCTTTCCACCCTTATTTAGGCCTGAAAAACTTCTCAATCCTTGCTTCGATATCAATGCTCCCCTGGCACTGAACAGGGACTGCCACACAGCCATAGGGTCAATGCTCTGGGTGTGTGGTTGGGGACTGCTTGAGTTGCTGCTAAACAGCAGCTCAGCAATAGAAAGCGAAGTCATTGCGTCAGTTGAGGGGGGGGCTCTTGGGCCTGATCACACTCCTATTAAAGACCAGGAGCTTTACCACAGACATCTGCAGGTGGCTTTAGATCAGCCCGCAGTTAAGGTGTGCTACCAAGCCAGGCTGGCCTCTCACAGTGCATGATTTTGCATGGGGCAGGACTTCATCCTTGTCCTACCTCAGCTTTTTTCTGGTTTTCCCAGTGAACTGGCAGCTCCTGCAGGCCATGCTCCCGCACCCCGAATCTGCCGCCACGCTGGTTCTAGAGAGACAAGAGCTATGACAGCAAGGCAATACCACATCGTGGTGAGGCAATACCATATCATGACTCACGCTCCAGTTGTCCGTCTGCAAGACCAAGTGCATAGCCCTTGACCCCTACTCCCACATAACCACCGGCCGCAGGCTTCAGAACCTCATACTGCAACTTCCCAGAGAAAACGCAACGCACTGCCTATTAACCACAAACCCGGCCATGAAGCAGAGGCTAGAAGCCACACTACCACTCTTGCATGACTGCCACACACAACCCTTTGCACAATTCCCTGTCCACACTGTGCTAGACTCATAGATGCTTGGGTCAGAAGGGACCTCAGTAGATCATTAAGTCCGACCTCCTGCCCTGGGCAGGAAAGAGTGCTGGGGT